GCTGCTCTCTACACATGTGTGACTGGTCCACATAAGTACATTATGTTGCCAACTCTGTCACATACACCTGTATTTGTACGGGGTGTATGTGATGGGGTTGGCGCGATGATGTCATCACGCAGGGTACTCGTATATGTGAGCGTATCTGCATGTGGGCAGACCCGCCTGGAGATGGATAGAGGCGTGGTGTCTCGGAAATACGTGTTTTCCGATGGTCTTAGGCGACCCCTGTGAAAGGGTCATTCAGCCCCCAAAGGGGTCGTGATCCACAGGCTGAGAACTGCTGATATAGAAGATTCTGATAGAGTTTGTTTCCAACTTTATCCTTTTCTGCATTTCCATGTTGTCTAAAATATTTCTATAGTGAATGATATTATAAAAAGAAAAATATGAAGGTATAACTAGAATATGCATTTTTCCATTCATTGAGTATTGTTCAGGGCTCACTGTGTGGCAGGCACTTTTCTATGTGGCACAAATGCCACAGATATACAACCCTAAGCTGACCGCTCTGCCTTGAATGTGGCCCCACAGATCCCCTTTGAAGTCACTGCTTTCACGGGACCTTGCTCACTGAATCATATAGTTAAATCTAAGACTTGTCCCTGATCAGGATTCATTACACAAAATTATCTTTAGCTTTGATCTAAAAGACTGATGGATAGAGTTCACGGATCTTCACACATTGCTTTTGCCACCCAGCTAGCCAAAAGCTTGCTGAGCCCAAAATGCTCACTTGAATTTTTAAATGCCAAACCATGTGAGATCCCAACTTCAGTAGCTCCTGTTTCAGTGGTAATTCTTTAGTCCTTTTTAGCACTTTCTGGACTTCAGTCTATTTCATCTATTGAAGTTGATAGTCTTTCCTTTCTCCGTGTATCTTTGAGGTTTTTCTGATCTTCTTTAAAATGTTCAATTCAGCAACAAAGTTAACATGAAAGAATCACAACAGACTGTGTGATCATGAGGTGTCAATAGGATCAGGTATCAGGCATCAAAGACCCAGAACAAAAAAATCATATCATTGTGAATGAGGGGGAGTGCAGAGTGGAGACCCTTACAGAAAGGTAGTAGGGAGGAGACAACCCAGTCAGGGTTCAGTATAGTACCGTTGAAACATACAATTTTCCTCTAGTTCTTTAATGCTTCCTCCCCATCCCCCCACCCCTATCTACCTTACAAATTTGGCTAGACCAGAGCATGTACACAGGGTACAGATAAGAGTTGGAAACACAGGGAATCCAGGACAGATAAACCCCTCAGGACCAATATTCAGAGTAGCCATACCAGGAGGGTAAGGGAGAAGGTAGGGGGAGAAAAGAGGAATAGATCACAAGGATCTACCTACAACTCCCTCCCAGGGGGACGGACAACAGAAAAGTGGGTGAAGGGAGACATCGGTCAGTGTGAGACATGAAAAAATAATAGTAATTTATAAATTATCAAGGGTTCATGAGGGTGGAAGGGTGGGGGAGGGAGAGGAAAAATGAGAAGCTGATACCAAGGGCTCAAGTAGAAAGAAAATGTTTTGAAAATGATGATGGCAACAAATGCAAAAATGTGCTTGACACAATGGAAGTATGGATTGTGATAAAAGTTATATGAGCCCCCAATAAAATGATTAATAAATAAATAAAATGCTCGATTCATCTTTTACCTGTGTTGTATGTGGAGCATCATTCCCATAAATTTGTTGCAAAGTTTCAATGATTTAGAATGATATTTACTTGAGTTTTCTTTAAAATGTGGTATTAATCCTGATTCCCCCAAAATGTTTTTTCCATGGCATAAAAATAATCTTTTTTAAAGGCATTTTCATGAAACCCAAGGAGCTCTGGTGGCAGAGTGGGTTACATGTTAGACTGTTAACCTCACAGTTAGTAGTTCAAGCCTACCAGTTGCTCTGAAGGAAAAATATAAGGCTACTGAATATTGAGAGCACCATGTACTGATAAAAAGACAAACAAATCGGTCTTGGAAGAAGTACAGCCAGAGTACTCTTTAGAGGAAAGAATGGTGAGACTCTGTCTCATGCCCTGTGGAGAGACCAGTTCCTAGAAAAGAACATCATGCTTAGTAAAGTAGAGGGGCAGTGATAAAGAGGAACACCCTCCACAAGTTGGATTCACACCGTGGCTGCAACCATGAGCTCAAGCATAGGAACAATGTTGGCGCAAGAACAAAGGGTAGTGCAGGCCTGGGCAGTGTTTCGTTTCCTTGTACACAGGGTCGCTATGAGTCAGGATCAACTCAATGGCACCCAACACCAACAACAACAATAACAAATCCTTTGTAGCGATATACCAAATTTTCTTTATACACTCACCAGTTTATGGACATTTGGACTATTTCCAGATTGAGGTTGGATAGAATAATGCAGCTATGAATATTCATGAGTAGATTTTTGTGGGGATATACATTTTTTTCTCTTTTGGTTGGGTAGAATCCTGAGTGAAATTGTTAGCAGGGTTATATGGTAAATTTATGTATGACTCTCATTGGCAATAGTTTTATTGGCATATAACATAATCAAATCATGCAATTCAATAATTCAATCATATTAAGAAGAGTTGTGCAATCACCACCACAATCAATTTTATAACACTTTCTTCTTTCTCATATGCATTGTTGTTAGCTCCTCATTTCTCCCCAATACCCCCTGCCATGCCCCTAGGTAATTATTAACCCAGTTACTGTCTCTGTGGATTTACCTGTCCTGGATTTCATATACAAAAAAATCAAACAAAACAACAAGAAACAAACAAAAAACAAACAATGACAAAACAAAACAGAAAAACCTCAGTTGAAAAGAAAGCAGAAAATATTAAAAACTACAACAGATTAAAAATGGGTCAAAAGGGAGATCAAATGATATTGCATTTTAACCTAACTACGTCCACCATAATCAACTTTACAAGGCTCTCTGTCTGATAAGGTAATTCACATACCTTGACTGTGTGGGCGGATTCATCGGAGGCTTAATCCATATGTGTACCCTGTAAATGGATTTTGGGCTTCCACTGTCATCCATTGCCTTCTGAAAATCAGGTGTTTACAATTTAAACTCTGATACCATTCCCTCCTTTGGATTTTGATTTTATTATTTATAATCCTTGGATCACACAAGCTGGTACGCTTCTTCCTTGTGGACTTAAAGTTGATACCTCACTTAGATGGCTGCTTGTTTGAAGACAAGCCTTTAAGACCCGAAACACTATTCCTTCTGCTAGGTGGACACCGTCTGGTTTCTTCACCACACTTTGCTATAGTGCCTATATCTTCAATAATCTCTTCATGAGGGTGAGCATCAAGGAAGGCCATGTCATAAGAACCAATTGTTCTTAGATTGGGGCTAGAATTAAGTGTGAGCCCAAGATCCATTCATATAGCTATGGTTTATATAAGTCTCCGGTTCACCTTAGAGACATCATTGTCATTTTATGTTAGAGAACATTATCAATCATTCCCCTGGGGCATAAGGTAATTCTACTAATAGTGTCATTAATTTAGCTAATGGTATAGAATGCAAAACACTGTTGAGAAAAGGAAATTATACATGCATAAGCTGACTGTTCAGACTGAAATACATGAATTGTTGACTCGAACAAATTAAAAGCTTAAGTGACTAGGCACTATTTATAGGAATAATGAGGGTTGGGAGCACGGCAAAACTTTCAATAACATTCATTCTATTTATGACTTTTTAAGACACTCTCAAAAGACTTTTTAAGACACACTCCAAAGTGGCTATACCATTTTATAGTAATGTATGGTGAGGGGGTGGTGGTGTTAATGTCTCTACCTCCTCACCATTGATTACAGTTATTCTAAAAGATCTGTTACTTTGGCCATGTCATCAGGAAGAATCAACCACTGGAGGAGGGCATCATAGTGGTAAAGGAAGACTCTCAGTAAGATGGACTGGCATGGCAGCCACAACATGAAGATGGTGCAGGACTGGCGATGTTTTGTTCTGTTGTACATAAGGATGCCATGAATTAGAGTCAACTTGATAGCTGCTATCTATCCATCTCTAGTTGCTGTGTATGGTATTTCATTATAGTTACACGTTCCAAAAGATGAATTATATTTTCTTTTTCATATGCTTATTTCTAATCATTTTATTGGGGGCTCATACAACTTTTATCACAGGCCATACATTTATCCATTGTATGTCAGGCACATTTGTATATTTGTTGCCCTCATCATTCTCAAAACATTTGCTTTCTACTTAAGCCCTTGGTATAACTCATTTTCCCCCTCCCCCATGAACCCTTGATAATTTATAAATTATTATTTTGTCATATGGTTACTAGTCATCCATATATGTTCTTCTATGAGATGCCTCCTAAAATCTTTTATCCATATTTTAATTTGTGTTGTCTGCTTATTACTCAGTTGTGAGAGTTCTTTATATATTTTGGATGTGTGTGTCATCTGACATTTTCTTCCAGTTTGGGGCTTGTCTTTTCATACTTTTAATAGTTTCTACTGAAGCACCAAAGTTTTCAATTTTTGTGCAGCCCAAGTTATCTTTTATGGATCGTAATACATTTGGTGTCATATATAAAAACTCTTTGCCCAACTCATGAAGGAGCGGGGAGCAGGGAGGGAGGGGAAAAAAATGAGGACCTGATGCCGGGGCTTAAGGGGAGAGCAAATGTTTTGAGAATGATGAGGGCAATGAATGTACAAATGTGCTTTACACAATTGATGTATGTATGGATTGTGATAAGAGTCGTATGAGCCCCTAATAAAATGATTTAAAAAAAACAAACTCTTTGTCCAATACAGTGACACAGATTTTCTCCTATGTTTTAATCTAGATGTTTTATACCTTTAGCTCTTACAATTAGATCTGTGATCCATCTTGAGTTAATCTTTGTATTTGGTGTGATATAAGAGTGTAGGTTCATTTCTTTTTTCATGTGGATATTCAATTGTCTCAATAATTTGTGGGAAGGATGACCCTTTTCCCCATCGCATTATATATTCATCTTTGTAGACAATAAATTTACTATTATAAGGATTCATTTATGATTTCTCAATTCTGCTCTGCTGTTCAATACGTCTATCCTTATATCAGTAGCATACTGTTTTGTTTGTAGAAGTGGGAAGTTTAAGTCCTCTAACTGTGTTCTTTTCAGATACTTCAGCCATCCTTGTTAGTACAGTGGTGAGTATCCCAGCCTGTTACCTGGAAGACCAGGATTTGGTTCCCCACCGGGGAGGCAAACGTCCTTTTATGATTGAACTAATAAATTATATGATATGTGGATGAAGTGCCAAAAACTGTTTTAAAAAAGGAGCGACATCAAAGAGCAGAGGAAGGTTACATTTTCGGAGGATTTGACTGTTAATTATACTTGTTGAATACAAAGTTGATGATCTGAAATATAAACTCCCACCCAACTTACAATAATAAAAAAAGAAAGTTAAAAAACAAAAACACTTCAGCTATTCTAGGTCCTTTACAATTCCATACACTTTAAAAAAAATCATTTTATTGAGGGGGCTCTTACAAATCTTGTAATAATCCATCATTCAGTGGTATTAAGCACACGTACATATGTTGCCATCAACATTTCCAAAACAATTTCTTTCTACCTGAACCTTTAGTATCAGCTCCTCTTTCTTCCCCTCTCTTCCCCATCCTCCCACTCTCGTGAAACCTTCATCAATTATATACAGTATTGTTCTTTTGTGTCTTACACTGTCCATTGTCTCCCTTCACTCATCTTTCTGAATCTGTTCCCACCCCCTGGGGGGAGGGCTATATATCCAACCTTGTGTCCATACATGTTTTAGAATGAGCTTGTCAATTTCTACATAAAAACATGGATGAGCTTTGATAGGAACTGCATTTAATTAATCTATCAATTTAGGGGGAGCTGGCAGTATTTTGCCCAAAGTGAGCAATAGAGCCCCCTGGGGGTTGCTTAAATGATCGAGAGGGGCTGCAAAAGTAGATACCTACACCTCTATCTTGGAATATGAACTATAGTATAATTTTTTCCATTGTCAGGGAGATGTTGTTTTCTTCCCCCCACCCCACCCCACCCACAGAAAAAAAAGGCTTGATGAGGTTGTTATGAGGACAACAGTTTAGTTGTTCCTCAAAAAGTTGAATATAGATCTATCAAAAACCAAACCCAATTTGTCCAGTTGACTCATAGCAATCCTAGATGGCAGAGTAGAACTGCCTCCTAGGGTTTCTAGGGCGACAACATTTATAGAGGCAGACTGCCACATCTCTGTCCCACGAAATATCTGAAACCACCAACCATTCAGTTAGCAGCCAAGCACTTACTCCCTGTGCTTCCAGGGTTCTTTGGTTCTATCAAATAACAATCATACTCTTAGATAAGCATATAGCAATGTTGACTGCAACATTTTTCTCAATAACCCAAAGGTGGATACCACAGGGTCCAACAACTAATGAATGGATATGCAAAATGTTGTATATACATACAATGGAATATTACTCAGTTATGAGGAAGAATGAAATACTAATGCATGCCGTGAGGACATTATACATAATATTGTAAGAAGAACTTCCAAATATAGATTCTACTTAAGATAAATTGAGTTTTTATTCTGTTGTCAGGACAAATACAATTCACTAGTAGGACTAAGCATATAGTGCTACCACAATAAAATGGCATCACAAGTTGAAATGTACTTCAAAAAAATATAGGGGTGGGGAAGCAGAAGCTAGAGCAGAGAAGTGTATACATGAAACAAGATTCATCACAATCACTAAAGTTAAGTGATGGTTTTACTAGATGTTTATTATATTATTGTTTTTTTTTCTTTTTAAAAATAATTTTATTGGGGATCTTATAGATATTATAACAATTCATACATCAAATTTCTAAGATCATTTTATTAGGGGCTCATACAACTCCTATCACAATCCATACATACATCCATTGTGCCAAGCACATTTGTACATTTGTTGCCATCATCATTCTCAAAACACTTGCTTTCTACTTGAGCCTATTGTTTATTTTTCTGTGTGTTTCAAATTGTCTACCCAAAGAGTAACAAAGAAAAAGATAACATAAAAGAATCAATATGTACTATTATATGTGATCCATAAGACTAATATATAGACATGGGACAATCCTTTTATATCTAAATACCTATAAAATAGTACTTTTGGTCTTTTTTTAAAAAATTAAGAATCAGAGACGTTTAAAATCTTTAAGATAGGGTTTTGCTTGTCATTTTTTAATTTTCATGAATCTTCAAGAAAATACTGACAACCAGCTCTAAATGACTTGAGAAAATAAATGTGCCAAAAAAATTTAAAATTGCCCAATACTTTACATTTTCTTTATAATGAAAATGTCTTTCAGCTCTCAAAATACAGAAAAGAAACAGGACACTTCAGTTGGTAATTACTGTTCCTCCTTAAATTTACTTACTTCTGAAAGAAAGTTTATCTCTTCCACAACAGAATGGAAACAAAAGGGGGCCTGGGAATGATTACTTTCACAACTGCATCAGTAAACTGTTAGAGAAAACAGTAACTCGATCACAGTTTTGAAGAGAGGGTGTGTGTTTTTTCTCTCCCTCATGTGTAATGGACTTCCCGGAATCATTAGAGAAAGTTAAAAGTAATAACACAGAAGGAGAAACCTCGATCATGAATATGCTAGTCCAAGAGAAAATAAGGGGAAAAAATACTCTTCCCTCAAGATCCCCTAGAAGCCCAACTAGGTTCCGAGGGAAATGTTGAGTTCCTCATTCTTAGCTTCAACTTTAAATAACTACAACTTGAATTAGATCAAATGTATTAGTGAAAAATTCTGCTATTTCCTCTCCCACCTATATCCCCCAAGTAAAAGCAAAAGCAAATAATAAGCAGATGGAATTGACAAATGATTCGTACGCAATGCAACTCACCTTCAGGAAACATGAATCGAATTTCTCTTTCTGCTGCAGCAAAGTCATTACTCCCATGAAGTGCGTTTCTCAGATCATCTGTGCCGTAAATGGCTCTTAAGCTAAAAGCAAGTTGGAAACAGCCGTTCAAAGAGATCTCTGGTATTTTTTTAAGCATATGTATTCTATTTAGAAATTTAACAAACCATTCTCACTTCTCACATATGGATGCTTTCAAATATTTTGACTTTATGCTTAAATCTGTCTGGAAGAGGGTCAAACATATTTAAACTGCAGGAGTTCTCTGGGTGAAAAGAGGTGGTGATTTAGAAGTGAAAAAGGAATGTCTTTTCAAAAGTGCGAGAACTCAGTGGTTTCATGTTTCTAGACATTAGTTATAATACTGACAACTGTTGTTTCTGACCACCATTGCCAAATATTCTTTTAAAATACCATACCAATTTTTTCCACGAAATGTGAGATCAGCGAAGAATAAGGTTAATCAATCATAAATCCACATCTCCTGAGGTTTGTGACACTTGCATTAAGATATACATTTAGTGAAGGGAGACAATGGACAGTATAAGACATGAAATAACAATAACAATATATACTAGATCAGGGATACATGAGGGTGGAAGGGTGGGGAGGGAGGGGGAAAATGAGGAGCTTATACCAAGGGCTCAAGCAGAAAATGTTTTGGAAATGATAATGACAACATATGTACAAATATGCTTGATACAATTGATGTATGGATGTTATAAGAACTGTAAGAGGGATAAACAATCTGGAGGAGAAAACAATGGGACCAACAGTTCTGAGGGGACATGGGAGACAGGGAGGTGGGGGAAAGGAAGTGGGTGTTAACAAACCCAGGGATAAGGGAACAACAAGTGATTGAAAATTGATGGCAAGGAGGGTGTAGGAGGCCTGGTAGGGCTTGATCAAAGGCAATGTAACAGAGAAATTACTGAAACCCAAATGAAGGCTGAGCATGATAGTGGGACAAGAGGAAA